ACGTAGAATCACTCTTGCCAACAAGTGCTACTTTGGACTGAGTAGGCGATTCAGGAGTAAAGTCCTCTCTCGGCGTACGAAAACCACCCTCTATAAGTCACTCATCATGCCCGTGCTGGTATATGGCGCAGACGCATGGGCAATGACAACATCCGAACAGGCGGCTCTTGGGGTGTTTGAGAGAAAGATTTTGCGGAAGATTTACGGTCATTTACGCGTTGGCGACGGCGAGTACCGCAGACGATGGAACGATGAGCTGTATGAGCTTTACAACGATATGGACATAGTGCAGCGAATTAAAATACAGCGGCTCCGCTGGCTTGGTCATGTCGTTCGAATGGACACCGACGCTCCAGCTCTGAAAGTATTCAACTCGGAACCCGCTGGTGGTAGCAGAGGAAGAGGGAGGCTCCCACTGCGATGGAAAGATCAGATGGAGAAGGACTTGGCTTCACTTGGCGTTTCCAATTGGCGTCAGTTGGCACAGAGGAGAAACGACTGGCGTGCTTTGCTGAACTCGGCCAAAATCGCTTAGGCGGTTACAGCGCCAAAGAAGAAGAAGAAGAAGAAGGTATAGGAGGGTTGCCACATGTAAAAAAAATTTAATTCAATTTTAATTAAAGGAATTTGGTAGGTGAATAAGGTATTGCTATAGGGGTGTCATACAAAAGAGAGTTAAGAAGGTAGTAGTTTGAAAATATTTTTAACAGGGTTGCCACCTATTTGAGAAGTCTAATTGAGCTATTTTTTATATGAAATACTAATGATGGATGTCAAATGAAAGAGCTTCAAGAAATACTTAGTTTGACAATTTAGAACAATTTTGTTGTGTTTTAGGGTTGCCCCAGTTTAAAGGGCTAAACTACAATTATTAAATAAGTTAAACGAATTACTAACCGATGGTTATGAATGGAAATGGGTTTAAAATCCTTTATTTCAGAACTATATTTAGGGAGAGTTGCCACGCGATTAAAATTAATTTCCACTTAATTCATCAGTTACTTGAAATATTTATAACAATGTCAGACGACAAATATTTAAGGAAATTTTAGTTCGAAAATAATTTTTAAGAGGGTTACCGCCTGTTTTGAAAGTGGTATTTCGTTTAATTATACATTAATAACACGACATTTTAAAATATGGTTATCAAACGAACGAGTGTTAAGAAATCTTTAAGCTGAACATTTGTTTTTTTTTTTGTTGAAAAAATTAAGCTAAATAAGTTGAGCTAGTTGAGTAAGTTAAATGGATTGTCAAAAGATGGGTATCAATAGAAATGGGTTTGAAAATAATTTATTTCTAAACTGTATTTAGGAGAGTTGCCATGTGCTTAAAAAAATTAAATTCAACTTAATTGAAATATGTATAACAATGCTAGGCGAAAGATTTTAGTTTGAAAGTACTTTTAAAGAGGTTGCCACCTGTTTGAAAAGTCGAATTTGTTTTATTTATACCAAAGATACATAAATGAAATATTGAAATATTAGTGTCAAACGAAAAAGTTTTAAGAAAACTATAGGCTGATAATATTTTTAATTATAGTTGCCATGTATTATTTATGGAGGTCGTCACCTCTGGATCGTTTAAAGATCGACCACAAGGTCTAAAAATTAAACACTAGTCACCTAGGTGGCATTAAGCATCGGTGACTATAATATGCACGGTTTCTTATACATTCCTGAAACGGTAATTGATGCGAGGGCGTCGCCCTCTGAATAAAAATTAAAGATGTCCTGAAAGAAACTTCTATCCTTTATTGACCTTGAAAGACTAAAAACAAATATAATTAATACACTCCAGATCTAGTGTATATGCGATAGGGATAAAACGATACTAATGCTTAATCTTTCTAAGAAAAAGTTTAAGTTTTAAACATGTTTTACTAGGATGTCCACCCAAAATACAAGAAAAAAGTGTAAAGTCCGATAAGTTGTTTTTAGAACGTCCACAGAACTTTTTTAACATAATTTTCTTCTTTTTTAAGTACGTATTTTATTTGTTATACATAAATATTTATTTTGTGCAAAGAGAAAGCGATTGAGATCAAAACCATTAATTAATTAATAAAAGTTATCTGTCTTACAACACTGTTCAACAGCATTTTTTCGGAGTAACAACGGTATATCTCTGAAAGAAGTAATCAAAGTTATATTGTAGTGTAGGCATTTATATCGCTAGCTTAGAATGAAAAGTTGCTAAGTCCATTTGTAGAAAATTTACAGTGGGGGAAAAAAACTTTTCAAAATATTTCCTCCAAGAATTTTTGCAGAAGGTTCCGTTGCAAATTAAAATTTTTTGTGAGCTTATGGATTTTGCTGTGCCTCTTTTGGACTTAGTAAATTAGCCTTTAATTGAATATAAACGGGAAGAAATAAAACAAGCACGTTAGTGAATCCTTTTAGAGACGTTGCGTTTTTAATTTAACTTGCTTCCTATAAGCAAATATGAGTTTTCACAGAAAGTGGACTTAGCAACTTTTCACTTTAAGCTAGCAATATGTTAATGACATGATAATTGGTCTTTCTTTCTAGGACTCTATTTTCATTGGCAGCTCAACTGCCACAAATTTAGATAAAAATAATAGTCCGCTAATAATATTCTCACTGAATCGGGTTTCGATACAAGTACTTTCTTCCGATACCTACTCAGTACTCGGTTCGTATCGGGTCTGTACTTGTATTTCCTAGTATCGTTTTGTCCCTAGTATGCGATAACATGCCGTTTGTTTAAGTGAAATTAAATTTTGTCGCATCGTGGTTATCTCAGTATATGTTCTGAACCAAAACTTCAACTTCAAATCGGTACGGTATTTAGGTCAAAAGGAATAGATTTAATGGGTATGCGTATCGAATTTCGCTAAAGAAAATAATCTCTCATACCCTAATGTGCACACATACGGACATATACATATCACGATTGAGAGAATACAAAGGTTGCGCCGATCTCGGTACCGCTATTTTTCTCTTAACGAATTTGACAGAATCGTTGTTTGCATGACGTCACACTGGTGCAACTTGTTTACGTTTTCCTTGCAACATTTTTTCTTCTTCTTCCATTCTTGCTCACGTTTTGGCATTTCTCTCTCGCAATTGCACCAGTGTGACGTCACACAAAAGTTATTCTCAAAAATCCTCTCTGATCGGCGCAATCTTGTATTCTATCATTCTTGTATACATATTATATATGTACATATCATTGAAAAATTCATTTTCATATCAAATTTTAGAACTGTATTTAAACCCCGAATACTGATAGATATTTAAAGAGGGAAAATTTAACCTTTCATTTTTATAAATAACTTAAAATTACATAACTCAAACGCCAAATATTTTATATGCTAAGTTAGCCTTAAGTATTTACTTTGTACAGCAGCCATCGGCTTTGCCTTAATATCACTGCTAAGTTGATTTTTACTTCAGCGAGTATGGACTAACAATTTTATTCGTATTTACCACTTTTCTTGTTTAGACTATGGTTGTTTATACTCTCTCTGTTGTCGCTCTCTACATAGTAGATTCCACATCGCTGGTTGAGTGTGGCGAGGTCAGGCCATGTGGTGAACATCGGCACAATGCGACAATTCAGTTGCAAATTTAGCGCTGAACTAAAAGGGTCTCCGAAAATTGGTGTTAGCGGCTCAGTGCTAGGCTGCGCATTGTCGCTGCAAAAGATTGCGGATATAGTAAAATATCCTCCGACAGGGTTTGGATGTTGATGCTGGCCATCGTTGCCAACACTAATTCGTTGAGTAAAAGGGTAACTTTTTACTAGGGCACGTCGAATGACAGTCAGTGCAAAATGCAGTCAAGAAAAAATAAAAAAAGGAAATCGTTGCAATCGAATCTATAAAATAAAAACGTCTTTATTAAAAGATTGTGTGGAAAACTATGAAAAATATATGATAAAAATGTCAATAACCATTCTAAGCAAAAGGAGGACATAATAATAATTTGCAAACATAGAAGCCAGGTAAGTACAAGAAAAATACATATGTACATACATAAATTTAAAATTTATAACATTCGGGAAGCTAATTGTTCAGTTTTGTGATAAATTTAATTTTAAACTGTGACGAAAAATACAAAAGCAAAAATGTTTGAAATAGAGAATGGACGCCTGCTATCATTGCGCAGTCGCATATCACATCAGCCCTGTATTTTTTGTCTTATTCGCTATTTGACTTTCCGCTTATATTTAATCTACGCTAACTCTACGTTGGTTCGATACCTACATTATTTTTGTATGAATGTGGTAATATGGCTCAGACAACAACAACACATTCGATGCATACAAACATATATACATATGTGCGCACATATGCACATACATACATATACACAAGTAGTACATACATACATATGTAATAACATGGACGTGTGTGCGATATTGTTGATTGGAAGTTATAACATTTCAGTGCCGACAGGACTTTTTAAACGCACGACTGATCTTCTGTATATTCTACAGCCCTTTCCTTGTTAAATTTCCCGAAACACTCGCTTAAGCTCGAAAGTACAGCGAGTAAGTTCATTTCATCCACTTTTGATTCTTTATATCGTCGTTTAAAACAAAACAGCGTATCAAGAAAATGCAAAACCTCGTCTGTGAGGTTGCCTTATGGCCCTATTATGTATGGCGCCTGATAGCCGATGGGCAACCATATACATACCTACTAAAATTCGCATTACGTATGGCAACCGGCTATTGGCTGTGGTAGCTCTTATGACGATTTTGTTATTTGTTTACATAAATTGTTCAACACATTAGAGCAAAGTTGCAAATTCCTTCGAAATGTATGTACATGACAAAAAGGTGAATTCGGATGGTGTCTGCGCTTTTCTGTATACTCAGATTAATCGCCATACATAATATAAAGCAGGATACCCGTAGCCATGGCTACTAGATCAGCAATTAGACACCAGTCGCCTTTCGTAATAGGGCCATTAATTCATTTTATAGGAGAGAGTAAAACTAGTCTTATTTCAAAACGGTTATTTCTTTTATTCATAACTATACCTTCTTATTTCTAGGCATCGATATTTTAGTATGAATGGATAAGGGCCTGATGCCAGGAGCTACGAGGTTTTGCAGAACCACGATACGCGGGTTTTGTACTAAACGACGATATGCTCTTTCAGCAAGGCATCTAGTTAAGGTCCTTAGTAGAAGAACGGTCTATCGCCGCGACTGTCAACACTTCATTAAGAGATAGAGTTGGAGAAAGCATCGATGGCACTATCAATGCATCGATGTTTTTGCATTTTTGTTAAACATCGATCGACATCAACTTCACTTACATATGTACATATGTATGTATATCTCCTAGAATTTTGCTATCAACTCTAACCAACTACCGGATGAGCTAGAGACTTGAAACTTTAAACTTAGCGCAAAACCCGATGAAAATGTAATATGAAATTCAAATTAATTCACTAGGTGGCGCAGGTTTAGAGATGTTTGAAAACCCCGTCCGATATATATTTGGAATGCATATATATTACTTTCATGGAAATAGTTCCACAAAAGGTCTTTTTGATTTACTTTATTTGCAAAAACATATTTATAGTCAAAATTAAGTTCATACTTAAAGTCACTTGTGGCTTTTTTGACATAATTTTTAATGGGTTATATGTTAAAAGCGCTACAACTAACTTTAAGTACCAACTTTGACTTTGAACGCAATATTTTTTCACAAAAATCAATGTTACATCGATGATTTGCTTTAAACATCGATGGTAGCAAACATTGATGTTTCTCCACCTCTAGTAAGAGAGCCAACAACAATTCCTAAATTTTCCGCGGCGAAATGGTCAGTGAGAGAAGTAATCGTAATTGAAATCCACCCTTTAACAACACCTACTTTATACACACATACATATGTATAGTCCCAGCCTGCAACTAGGCGATGACACTTGTTCGGATTATTAATTTGTCATTTATGTATGTATACTGAAATAGTATTAACAGAGAAACTAGCGACAGCAGTTAATGATAGCATTACCGTTAGCAGTTAATGTTAACAGTGAGCCGGGCATTTCTCGCAACACTAAAATTTCCCAGTCTCATTACAATCCATTTCGCCGCATTGTATTTTGGCTGGGCTGCAAGTTCTCATGATATCTTCCGCACCCTTCTCTCATGACCCGCCGGAAAGCATGGAAACCTTAAACCATTTAAATTTTGCAACCCCGCCACCTCCAGCCTAAGGCAACGAGTAGACAGGGATGACTGTTTTCCGCAATGCATGTGTATACGTACACATGTTCATACATATATACATATGTATGTATGTGCTATATTTCTCGCCTGCAATGTGCGCATAAATGAGAGATTCTTGGTTCCTAAGCGTGTATGCGTGAAAATAACCATTTTCAATTGTATGTGTTCATGTGTGTAACATGGCGGAGCTATTGAGCAGAGCAAACCTTGTTTGAGGTGTCCATTTTTAGGGAAGGTCATTTATAAACGAAAAACGCGCGCATATCCGAGTGCTGATTTAAGTTCTTATAGTTTGTAACAGTGATTAATTTAAACCACTTATTAAAAATTATTAGCTTAAACAATAATTTTTACACTGAGTAATATACATACATACATATGTAGCTGTACATATGAAACATATTTACATACATATTTCACTATTAATACAATACAAATAAAAAGCAGTTTAAACTCGGTTTGTTATTTCAAATTGTTGAAAGTTGTATGTATTTATGAATGTATGTACATATACATACATACATATATGTATACTCATATGTATGTAAACTAGGGTGGTCCTTAAATGTATGAAGCACATTTTTACATCAGAATTCCTAATAGCCCAGTTATGCATACTTGCACTGCTATACCATTTTTACGTAAAGAGCAAACCCCAGAATTGTACATGTGAAGTGCTATGCGTTAGGTAACCGCTTACACGCAAAGCCCATTTAACAGATTCTTATGTGACAACTCTCATGCAAAGCTAAGTATGCATAACTGAGTCTCAACCCCTATGTCGATGCTACTATAGTCGAAGATATCACATATACATTTTGGTGACGGTTAAGGCGGGACTAAAATTTTTATGTGATATCTTCAACTTTAGTAGTATCGATTTTGGGTATTAAATGCAAAAAATATTTTTAATTTTTTGAGTCTCCATGGAGCATCTGGGCTTGGATCCCATTGCGACACGTCTTTACCGACTCTAATCGGTACCAAAATTTATATCTGATATCTTCGACTATGAGTTGGCAAAAAAATTTATTTTAATTTTTTGAGTCTCTATAGAGGAACCTGAACTAATGTATACACATGTACAATTGTTCTAAAAAAACATACCGTCACTAGACGCGAATAAAGGCACGAGCTCAAAAGTTAACCGCAAAAAAAGACACAAAAAAACTTTAGCGAAGAAAGGCGCTCAAACCTGGGGGGCTACTCTGTAATGCGATACGACAGAGAAATGCGATGTGATAGGCAATCACCCCTGTGTATTACTTACGATGTGTTTGCGCGAATGCGAATCATTTGTTTTCGCATCGCATTACAGAGTAACCCCCCAGGTCGACGGCGAAGAAAGACGCCTTAACTTATTTTCTCGGTCAACTACATTTGCTGGTGAAATAGTATGTATGTACATTCCACAAAAAGTTTTTGGGGAATAATGCTGAAGTGACAGTCCTTGGCCGTAAACTAGGTTTACGCGTCTTTTTTCGTCAATGCGTCCTTTCTCGACGTCAAAACATAGGCGCGCCTTTATGCGTGTCTAGTGGCGATACATAATTTTAGAAATGATTTTGTCAGGATATCTTTAATCTTTTTATATATCGCACGTTTAATAATATAGAAAAGTTATTCAAAATTTACATTTTCAGAATAAGCTTAAAAAGAAGAATATGTGCAGTCTGACAGATAACTAAACTTCACAAAAGTGGCGAAGATACATATGTGTCTTTTCATCTGTCTTTTTAACCGACTTCAAAGAAGGAGGTTATCAATTCATCAGAATATTTTTTTAAATGTACAGTATATTTTGCTTTGCTGCCTCTATGCTTACGTGCACATTTAAGATACCTACCCCAAAATTCGCATCAAAAGCATTATTTTTAACATTTATAAGGAAACTGCTCCGATAGATGCATTCAACATACCTGCACCTGCACTGGCCCTACAATTACCTAATTTTACAACATTTTATATATTTTGCTCATCTCGCAGAACAACGAAAATGGCTATCAATTTATGTAGTTATATAGATAATTAGATAACATTCGGTAAAAATTTCGCTTGCAGTAATTTCTACTTGGTAAGTGCTCCGCCAATATTTGGTTTCATAGGGATTCGGATTGAAGTAGTAAAGAAAATTCGCTTAAGTGCCTTTTTCGGTTACGTGCACAAGTTTTTCGTTCAAAGAAGGATGTGCAGCTAAGCAAAATATACTGTACATCCATTTGTATGCTGCTGGATAACTTTGGACTACGTCAACCGCATTCTGTTATTATTTTTTTCGAAAAGGTGGTACCTCAATGGTGGTCCCGATTAATGTGTTATGCAGAAATTAAAGGTGCTCCTAAATTTTTATATGAGCATTAAAGTCGGTTGAGTTTTTTGTGTTGAAATTACTTGCTTTGTACTAATTGTATGAACTGATCAAACTTTAACTGCGTTTTCCCACAAAATTAAAATTTATAAATACCTACTTCCATCGTACATTTCCCTGAGCAAAAACATTATCAGCTGATTGCCAAAAAATGCTAACAGCTGAGATCACTTGTTTTTTAGCATTTGCTGTTATCTTTTACAATTTCTTTCATTTCTATTACAATTTCTTCCATTTATATTCAAATTTATTCAAAATACACTAACACACTGAACCAAAACCACAATACACTAACCAAAACACACCTATAGCCTGCCAAATGCATTAATTTTTTAATACACAGTATTTTAATGGTAACTATATACATACATATATAAATTCAAAA